AAATCCATTTTAATTCTCTCTGAATTAGACACTTGCTTCTTTAAAAAAAAATTGTGTATGTTCATCAAAAACTGGACAGAGATGAGTCAATGAAAATTCCCCATTGTTTCTTTCCAAGCAATGAAAAGAGCACTGAGGAAAGAGGATGGGAGTCAGAGCTGAAACAATTGGAAAGAGCCAATTACACAAAATACATTACCCACAAGTCACTGAAAGAGTAGCAGCTAACTCAAACCCAGTTCCTTTTTTAATTTCATGGTTAAGGGAAGAAGATTTTTCCAATATAGCATGATAGCCGTACAGAGGCAAAGTAATGAGAAAAATGCTGCAATTGGGCTATTGAAAATCCCACTAGTTTAAGCCAATATCTATCAAATCACTTTCTCAAACATTATGCTGCAATTTCCAAAAGGTTCCATACTCTGACCTTTTCTCAAATGATCACAGCAAACTCTTCTGGCTCTTAAAAGCATAGTAGCTTATTTCATTTGAATAGGTTTTTACAGTTTACCAAGTTATTTTACACATATTACCTCTGTGAGGTAGATACGATTATTTCCACTGTACAGATGAGGAGACAGACTAGGAGAACTTCAGGGTCTTCCAATGGACCCCTGGATGTTAGGTCTGCTGACTCAAAACCCTCTTCACTATACTGTACTGACCTTGAGTTGTCTTCCAATGTTCCAGAACTTTATTAATTAAGGAGAGAAACCAAAAACTATAGATGATAATTACCTATAGTAAAACACATTTTACAGAGTACTTTTAGCAAGAAAGAGCTGCTGATGGAGAACCAACAAAATGTATAACGAACATGAGAGAATCCTTCTAGTCTGAATACGGGTTTGCTTTGTTTGGAGATTGGTCATCTTTCTTCCCTACTCCAAGATTTTGTTTTTCACTATTAAGAGTCATTTGATTCTCACTGACGCACAAGGAATTGGGAGGGTTGTGTAATATTGCATGAGGCTGACCTTACCACTGGTGGAAAAATTGCCAGCCAGACACAACGTGTCAGTTCAGAATGACTCAGGGATGGGCTCAACAGTATCAAAGACCTTTATATCAAATCCTTAACAAAGGAGCTTAGTGTAAACAGGACTTCAGGGCTGGGAAATGACACAAGAAGAGGACAGTCACTTCCTCATCAGAGGACATGGCTTTTGCCAAAATTTGCTGAAATGTGTCCACATTAGTTCCTAATAGATATGAATTAGAGGACTCATATCAATATATGCTATGTTCTACCAGGGACACAGAGAATAGTGTAGTGAAGGGCTGGGTTGGGGTGGGAACTGGGTGGAGGAGGGAAATGGAGAAAATGGGGGGACATCTGTAATATTCTCAATAATAAAGATTTTTTTATTTTTTATTACTTAAAGTATTACAAAGGGTATTACATATGTGTCCATTTTTCCCCCCGCCCTAGACAGTGCCCTAGCCTCCCCTATCCCCCAGTGTCTTGTGTCCATTGGTTATGCTTATATGCATGCATACAAGTCCTTTGGTTGATCTCTTACCCCC